ATTCTTGAAAATTTGAGACAATTGTGTTAATTTTTACTACTGTGTATCAAGAAATGTTATTCACGGTTATGATTCACAAGTTTGAATAAACAAAATTAATAAAATTTAACCAAAAAGTGGTGATAATTTTACCAAAGCTTAGGTTGCTCTTAAAAACTTATAATTTCTGAACAACGTGATATAATTTTTTTTTCTAATTTTTTTCGGGACGAATAAAATAATTATAAAAGAAATAAATTCAGGATTAATAAAAAATAATTGTTAAAAGTTAAATAAAATAAATCTGGACAGATTCTTGTTGGCAAGCCTCGGATACACGAGTGCTTACGTATAATATTTTATTTAATCATTATTTTTCATTTTTGATAAAAAAGAAATTACTGACATTTGGCTCTTGTTTCCAATTATTAATTATTTACAAGTTGTTGTTAATATGTGTAAGTGATAATCTAAGAATCTCAAAACCACTGACGGTGACGTACAATTTTACGTCAAACCGTATGGAAAAATAAAGATGTTTTAAAAAATCTTTACTTTATTTATATTTTTTTACATTTCAACATCAAATTTAAACACTTTCAATATATATATGAAATTCTCAATCATTGAGAATTATTCTCAAACAACAAACTCAAAAAAAAACATAATTTAAAGAAATTTTGATTTACAAAATTTGTTTATTCGTCTTAAAAGAAATTTATAAAATCACTTTCTTTTGATAAAATCTTTTTAGTGAAAAAGTGTTAGTGTATATTTAATCATACAGGTAAATAATTCTGTTTATTTTTTTCAGTAACCTTTTCTTAAAACTTTCTAATTTTTAACATTTTATATTTTGTTAATAATCCACTCATTTATTTTTATCATTTTCATTTTGATTATATTGTCATATTTCTGTACAATATTTTTTTAACAATTTTTTAAATTAAGAAATCCATCATCTTTTGCTCTTCTTAAACATATTGTTTGCTTAAATCTTGCCAAGATCATGTTGCTTGACAGATGTCCTGAAGATGGAACGTTTTAAAAAACTTTTTCTGTTTTTTATTACTTTTTGGTATATATATTGTAGAGCCTGAAATAATATCTATTATTATTGATTACGGCTTGCTCAGGAATAAATGAATAAATAAATAAATTTATATATATATATATATATATATATATATATATATATATGTATATACATATATATCTATTTTGTAAAATAAAATATATATTGAAATCAATAAACAATTTGATCCTATAATCTATTTTGTAAAATTAACAAAAAATGTGTTTGATATCTTATTCAATTATAAAATTTAGATATCAGTTCGCTGAGTGAAATCTTGGTTTATATGCATAATCAGTAATAAATATTCTAAATTGTTGTATGTGTACGCTTTGTGGCATTAAGGTTTGGGATTCAATTGCGATTTTTAGACAGCCTGAGATGTAATGTTTATATGGTATTAATTATAATTATGATATCAGGTTCAGATAGCGTATTCGAGTACTACGGTGTGAAACTCCTATAGAAATTTACTAGCTCTATACTTCCTTAATTCATGTTCAAAATAAGCTTTTCGGCATGTTGTCAAAACCTGTCCGCGTCAGTAAAATCTACCCCGCAGTTTAATTCTTATTGCGTAACAATATAATCCGTATCGGCGTCCTCGATAATGAAACGCTAATGGGCCTCAGCATGTCTGCGAGCGACCCACTGCAACCCACGACAGGCCACCCATTTGTCACTATTATTTTCGACTTGTTCTAAAACGCAATTTCAGATACGTGTTTACAAATGGTAGAAAATGTGAAATTTCAAACTGTTAACCATTTTTACTCGTTCATTCTAAAAGTAACACGTATTATATCGCCGGAGCGCGGCATGCGAGTGGAAAGGGTTAAACATATTTCATGCTTTTGCGGCGAAATTCACAACTATGTTTTTTATCTCTTTTCTGAAATGTGCGGTATTAGTATTTCTCATCTTAATAAATTTTTGTTAAAAATGTTTTTAATTTATATAGAACAACTAGCAAACCCGACGAACTCCGTTTCGCCACCAGATGGTTTCGTGAGAAAAATAAAGAATTTGTTTGTTTGTTTTATATTTGAAAAGGAAAATTTTGATTTCATTACACGACAGTAATGAATTTATTTCGATTACAAAAATGAAGTGTTTTTTAGTTGAACTTCTCTAAGTAAATGAAAGTGAATCCGCAAATTATCCGTTTCATTGAAGTGCTCTTTGGTAAACGAAATTTTTTGTTTTTTGGTCTGACATTAACACAAACAAAGCGGATGGTTTTCCAACTCGTGAGCAGGCAACGCATAACTGCCCATGTGAAAAACAATGATTTTCTGAATAATCTATTCGAAATTTATCCCGCAAACACTAAGCGATTGGCCTTGCGACTTGTTATTGCGAACGCAAGGCGATCTGAAGATTCCAATCGTTTGAAGTCAAACGGATAACCATTTCTTTGCTATAAACCTTGCGGAGCCCGAGACCTTTCCAACGAATGCAAAATTGTCGAAATCGATTCTTGCGATCTGAAGTTATATCGTCAGGAAGGAAAACCCGACCTTATATATATTATATATATATATATATATATATATATATATATATAATCTATTTGAAATTATTTAAAACACTTATTGATTATTTTCATTACTCGAATTTTTAATTACGGTGCGTGAAGTTCCAGCAATTTGCATTGAGGCACGATGCCATGCACCACTGATGCGGAGCCCGAGACCTTTCCAAGGAATGCAAAATTGTCGAAATCGGTTCGTGCGTTCTGGAGTTATATCGTCAGGAAGGAAAACCCGACTTATTTTTATATATATGTAGATTAGGGCTCGCCCGTAGGTCAGCGGTTAGGAGCGACGGGACTTGTTTCAGAGGACCCGGGTTCGATACCCACTTCGAGCAGCTTGTTGTCAGGCAACAGTGACAACGATTTTTACTTGGAAATATAAATAGCAATATGTTTCCAAGTGAAAATAGCCCTTACCCGGCATTGTTGCACCATACTTGCCCTATTACAGAGATTGTAATAAAAATTTATCATACAGGGATGTGACAACTGTTTGGGTTGCCATCTGTAATAAAAACAAACGTAGTTTGTAAGATATTAATCACAACAGCTCATAGAACCCACAATTTCTGATCGCTGTTCAAATAAAATTAAAAAAAATATGTAGATTAAATTTTATAAATATTTAATAAATATATTATCTATAAATTGCAATCTTAGGTTTAACAAACTCAAAATAATATTTGACAATAAAAAATCATTTTTATTGATCGATATTAGAGTTCTGTACTTGTTTTATTTATTAAATATAAAATATTTTTATTTATTTTTGATTTTATACCCAAAACTTAACTGATGTAATTGATGCCTTTTAATATAGTATGCATTTATTTTGATATATATATATATATATATATATATATATATATATATATATATATATATATATATATTATTTCAAGCTTTGAGCTCCATAAACTAGGACTTCCTGTTTTGTCTTCTATATCAGTTACAACTCGATTCGCCTTAAGGGCTTAGAATTGGTATATCGAATATATTTCCATAATATATATATATATATATATATATATATATATGTGTGTGTGTGAAATATCGATCACAAAATGTATACCATGACAAACTTTACAGTAATCAAATAAAGACAACATAAGATATTCAGATATGAATTCAAATATGTTCGAAATAATAGCTACCTTATTCAACTAATGCAAAATATATCTTTCATTGGTACATTTTCATGAGCATGGTTGGAATAACTATTTAACTCATCTCTTGTAAACTTACTATTGTTAACTTAATTTACCTTTTTATTTACTAGATAATTTTTATTGTTTACACCTTTGCGAGGGTGAAGGTTCAGTTCGTAAAATTAACAATACATCTTATAAAACATTTAAATATTGTTTATATAAATTTACGTACACCTAAAAGTCTAATTAAGGTCTCGTAAACTAATCAACGGTGCTCACAATAAAGAAAACGAACAACAAAAGCTTATTTTTAATATAAGTGGATGGTTTCACTAAATCATATATAATAACATTTAATTTCATAAATATCAATATCAATTTCAATTTCCAGCTCATTTACTTTATATCTGTTCGAATTCGTATTCAATTGAAAGAAATCTGCGTAATGCTTCTTCCAGACAGGTAACTCACGATTTAGAATTGAACCAGCGTCTGATATTTGATTATACGCCTTATTGAGCAGTTATGAACATCAGACATTTTTGATTTATCAATTTTACTCGATTTATTTTAATATTTTGCGAAGTCTAGAATTGAAGTATGTAATTTTAGAATTTTGCCTGCACATATTTAACACACCAAGCATATAGCCATTTTAATATAATGTAAAATTTTTTGGCACATACATATATTCATCGGTACCATGTTGTGAATCGTATCGTCTTTTTTCGGACTTTATTTTTTATTATTACTAATTTTCACTATGCGTTGTTTAATTTTTGAAGATTCGTTTTTTTATTAACTTCCGTAGGGTTAGGTGATCCGTGCGCCCAGAAACGTGGACGAAAAATTGTATCCATACATACATACACACTGACATACACACACATCCATTTTTTCTGAGGTATGCCAAAACGTTCAGAAACCTTCAAAACGTCGAGAAATGTAAACATTTTCAATTTAGATTTTTGAACGATTACAATAACTTACTAAGTTATTAAATATATAAGTATAAGTATAAAAATGCATTTAATTATCATTTAAATAACAAAGTTCTACAATTCGCCGAAGGCACAATACAATACACCACTAGTTCAATATTTACATTCATTTTAATGAAAATGAATTAATAAATCCCTGTTCTCGTTACCTCAAAAACACAACATTTGCTATCAAATTCAAAATTCCAGGTCGCAAGAATATATTCAATATCTAAAAATAAATCGCCCTAAGTAGTTTTTTTTTCTTTTTGTTTCAGAAAGAAAACACACGACATATGAAAATCCATAAAGGAAATATAGCAGAAGCTCAATCAAATGGAATTCTGGAAATTCAAGTAAGAATATTTTTTACTTTTTATAATATGCTCACGTATTGATTTGCGTTGACGTGTAAATAGCAACGACCTACTTTGAAATATAAACGTCAAGGTATCTTGGAAAATTAAGGATGATGACAATTATAAAATAACTTTCTGACTAATAAATATTAAAACCAAATATTAATTACTTTTATAAATATAATACATATTTATTAACTTCCCGTAGGGTAAGTTATTGTAACGGGCCGAAAATCGGAATTGAAAATTTTTAAATTTTTCGACGTTTTGAAGGTTTCTGAACATTTTGGCATACTTCAGAAAAAATGGATGTGTGTGTGTGTATGTATGGATACAAATTTTCGCCCACGTTTTCGGGCGTACGGATCAACCGATTTGAATGGTTTAAAAAACATTCGATTCCTATTGATAAGGAGATGTGCTGATTAGTTTTTGGTAGAGGCAGGTCCAGCAGGTACAGAGATAACGAGCAAAGAGTGCAGAAAATAGAAATCGAGTTTTTGAGAGAACGGAGCATCCGATTTGAATGATCTAAAAAACATTCAATTAGTAATGATTGGTATAAGGGGTTATTAGTTTTTCGCAAAGGTAGGCCCAGCCATTTCGGAGATACAAAGCTAAATGTACAAAAAATGGCAGTTTTTGAGAGAACTAAGCGTCAGATTCAATTGATTCAAAGAACTTTCTGCTTGTCTTAACAAAATAATTGATTTTAGAAAAAAAAATTGTTTCAATTTTTTTTTTTTTAATTTGTTGTATATCGAAAATAATAATTCAGATTTTATTTTTAATTCTGACTATAGTTCTAATATACTTTAAACAAATATTTTTAACTCTGCAATTTAGTTTGTATAATTCTTATAAATATTAGACAATGTTACAATATTTATAATAATCTATTTGAAAACATTCAATATTCCTCGAACATTTCGTTACGGTACGGGAAGTTCCAGCAATTTGCCTTAAGGCACGATGCCACCCACCCCACTAGTTTTTTGTTATTTTTTCATTGACATGTCTCTAAGTAACAGTTTTATTTGTAACGTTTTCGTTTAGTGTTTAGTGTCAAATTGGGACTCGAAACGTATGGTCCATTAAATTCACTTTAAGAAACAAAAATAGTTTTCTTTATCGTTATTATCTGAATGGATGCCTGCTTAAAAATGTTATAGTTTTATCAGCATATATATATATATATATATATATATATATATATATATGTATTTAAAAGTAGATATTATCTTTATTAATTTTACTTGGGGTAAATTATAGCAATTGAAAAAATCGATTTTTTATTTCTTTGCGTTTCAAATCCTCTGAATATTTTGGCATACCGTATCGTTAAAAAAAATGGAGGTATGTGTGTGTTTTGTATTGATGTATGTCAACGATTTTGAAAGCACGGATCAAACGATTCGAATGATTCAAAAAAACATTCGATTCTTATTCATGGAAAGATAGTACATTGGCAAAGGCAGGTTTTCGAATATGGAGAGTAAAAAGGGCAGAAAATGTCAATTCAGTGTTTGAGAGAATGGAGCGCCCGATTTGAATGATTTAAAAATATTTTTATTGTGTTGACGGAATAGAGAGTTAGGGGTTAATAAATTTTTTAGGGGCAAATTAGCGGTTAAAAACGTTTTAAAAAAGCCATTTGGCGATCAAAAATGATCATTGAATAATGTACATCAAAATATTGAATATTTTATAGAGATTTTAATAATAATAAATACAAACTTTTTCTTTGGTTTCTGTATCAAAATTTATAATGCTGAAATTTATCTTATGTAGTTCAAACAAATGTTCTCGACATTTTTGACAATATAAATCAACCAAATTGAATAAGTTTCAAAGCTCAAAAGTCTAGTCCAAAATGTCGAAATAACAGCTTTCAAAGTTTAAATTATGATACAAAAAGTTCGAGTAATTTGTCTTAAGAAACGATGCTATGCACCACTAGTTTCTTTTCTCGCTTGTGACGTCAATCAACTGCAAATTTATCATCTTACAATTAGTTTAAAACTCAAATTTATACAGAGTGTGACGCAAGCATTCTAGTTTTGTAATCATCAGAAATATATGTTATTTTATGATGTTTCTGACTTTCTTGTAATTGTTATTATTATTAGTACACACACATGTAATTATTAACTTCCTGTAGGGTAAGTTATAGTAATCGCAAAAAAATTGAAAATGAAAATTTTTATATATCTTTACGTTTCAAAGGTTTCTGAATATTTTGGCATACCTTAGAAAAATTGGAAGTATGTGTGTGTGTGTATGTGTGTGTGTGTGCGTGTGTGTGTGCGTGTGTGTGTGCGGATACAAATTTTCGTCGACGATTTCGGGAACACCAATCAACCGATTTGAATAATTCAAAAAATATTCGATTTGTATTGATAAGGAGACGTGGTGGTTAGTTTTGGCAAAGGCAGGTCTAGCCGATCCGAAGATATGGGCAAAAAATGCAAAAATGGTAACTCATTTTTTTAAGAGAACGGAGTGTCCAATTTTAATAATTCAAAAAACATTTTACTTGAATTGACAAGATGAAGAATTGATCAAATTTTCATGAAGGCAGGTCTAGCGATTTCGGAGATCTAATGAAAAAAGTAAAAAAAATGCCATTTGGCGGTCAAAAATGATCATTAGACATATGCACATCAAATTTTCAGATATTTTTTAGAGATTTTAACAATAAGTATAAATTTTGTTTACATTTCTATGAGTTCCGTACCAATGCTTATCCGTTAGACGGCGACGCGGCGCTTACGCGCTTTGACAGTTAAAGCAGTACGATTGCTTTGAAAAAAGTTTAAAATTTCCAGAATATGTCAAAATAAAGAAAAAAAAATTAATTTTTTGTCAAATTTATAGTTTCTCAAAAATCTAATTTTTTCGAAGTAATTTTTTTTCAAAAATGTTAATAGTTTTCAAAAAAAATAATTATTTTTGGTGCGGGAAGTTCCAGCAAATTGCCTTAAGGCACAATGCCATGCGCTCCACCAGTTTAAATTATATTAACAGCTTTCTTTTAAATATTTTTTGTCTGATCAGATATCAGACTGTATAACATCTCATATCACATTTTTCACCCATTTGCTTTAGTTTTATCCAAAATTATCTCTCAAATAACTGTCTTCAAATAACTCACATCTTTTGTGGATTAAGTTTTTCGTTAGCAAGAGTTAAATGTTTAATGCGATAGATGTTCATAAGTCATTACTTTTGCTATAAAAACTTATATTGTGCTTTAAGCGAAACTAATCGAAGACAATGATTTTATTGATTAGTAGCCAGTGCTAGATCTTGATCCTTTTACGTGAGAATCTTTAGAGGTTAAAATTGTTAACTAAAACAATTTATGAAGAAATCGAACGTTTTATCGCTCGTTTTTTTGAATGTTCACTGTGTTTCTGAAATAAAATTATTTTTTAACTAAACTAATATATACATGTTTCCACGTGTGTCTATGTTTTATATCTGGATCATTTTCTCATCCGCATATCTTCTTTCCGAGCTGGAAACGTCAGATGCGAATAAAAGCAATGAGACGTGCACAACATTAGTGCATGTGTCACGTAGTTTGAGCTTTATGGAAACGCTTTCAGTTCAGACCGGATCTCATTCTACATGTCAAATACAATTTAAAACTAGTCGTGTATGGAATTGTATCTACCTTGAGACAAATTGCTTTCACTATCCGTTTTGTAATATGAATATTTGATCTTTTTTAAAGAAAGTTTTTTTTTCCAACTTAGATTACTTCACAAACTAGTGGGGCGCATGGCATCGTGTCTGATAGCAAATTGCTGGAACTTCCCGTACCAAAAATTATTATTTTTTTAAAAACGATTAACATTTTTGAAAAAAAATTACTTCGAAGAAATTAGATTTTTGAGGAACTATAAATTTGACGAAATAAAAATGTTTTCTTTATTTTGACATATTTTGGAAATTCATAACTTTCTTTCAAAGCAATCGTACTGCTTTAACTGCATAGAGACGAAATATCGAAGTGCGTAAGCGCCGCGTCGCCGTATAACGGATAAATATTGGTACGGAAACCATAGGAATGTGAACAAAATTTATATCTATTATTAAAATCTCTATAAAATATCTGATAATTTGATGTGCACATGTCTAATAATCATTTTTGACCGCCAAATTGCATTTTTTTACTTTTTTTACTAGATCTCCGAAACCGCTAGACCAATCTTCATGAAAATTTGATCAGTTCTTCATCTTGTTAATACAAGTAAAATAATTTTTGAATTATTCAAATCGGACGCTCCATTCTCTTAAAAACTGAGTTACCGTTTTTGGAACTTTTTGCTCCATATCATTGGAACGGCTAGACCTGCCTTCGCCAAAAGCTAATCAGCATGTCTCCTTATCAATACGAGTCGAATGTTTTTTGAATTATTCAAATCGCTTTATCCGTGTTCCCGAAATCGTCGACGAAAATTTGTATCTGCACACACACGCACATACATCCATTTTTTCTAAAGTATGCCAAAATGTTCAGAAGGTTTTGAAACGTAAAGATATATAAAAATTTTCATTTTCGATTTTTTGCGATTACTATAACTTGCTCTACGGGAAGTTAAAAATGTGTTGTTTTGAACAGTTCTTTGAAAATAATTCATTTACATCAATGTCAATTTTTTTTATAGAGAGCAGCGGCGCTTAAAGGTCCGCGGGTAAAAAGTAAAATTAAATTGAAATTTTTTAACAGCAATATTTGAAAGTAAAGGGAAAATTTTGTAAAACCAGCCATCACCTTGATTCTCCCGGCTTTGGTATCGGGAGATAAACGGCAATGTTTGTAAATCCATAACAAAAGTATTTTTCTGCGTTGTTAGTTTACGAGACCTTGATATAATATTCAAGTATACATTATTTAATTGTTTCATAAGATGTATTGTTAAGTTTATTATGTAAGCTCTATAAAAGTTTACACATGGGTGTGGTGAAAAGGACCAACCGAGTCTTTA